GAGTGGAGATTTTGGTGAAAATGGGGTGAGAGAAAGGCATATTAGAGGAGGAGCTTTGGCTCCTTCCGTTGAAGGACAGCATTTGGTGAAAGGAGCACACCAAGAGGAAAGAGAAGGGGAAGGTGGCAGCACACCACATTCCTATACAGCCAGCCCTTAGTTCCCTCCAGCAATGACTGTTCCTCACCTCACCCTGACGTCATTTTACATCTCCGGCATTCTCTGTACTCTTCCGCTAATGGAAACTGCATCTCTTCTTAAAAGCTAATCCAAGTCCCAATTTCTCATAACAAGTTTCCACAAATCCAGAGCAAAATGAAAAAAATAAACACATGAATTTGTTACAACCATTGCTACACTTAATTAGCTTTGGCTGGTATCTTTTCCTGCCTTTTTGCTTTCTGTGTGATTGTTTCTTGTAAACTGCATAAAGCTAGATTGTTTCCTAAAAATCCAACCTGAGAAACTGTCACATATTATTGTGGGAACGCGTCTTAAGCTTTGTCCCGTTTCCTTATCTGTACAACAGGGTTGCTGCGATGACTGAGTTAACACCGGGAAAGCCCTTAGCCCTGGCATGTACTACACACTTAATAAACACTGGCTACTCTTAAGAGTTCAGTTTAATCATTTACAGGGATAGTGATTATTGATATACTTGGGGTTACTGGACCATCTTATTTCGTATTTTCTATTCACCATGCTTTTCCTTGTTCTTCTAATCTTTTCTGCCTCAGTGGTTTTATCAAGTTTTCCTGAAACCCATTTTCTGGAAACAGGTGTTCACTAAGAGTTGCCTTTAAAACCTTAAAATGGAGTCTTAAGAGTTCAAAGTAGGTCCATGCCTCCCAAACAATACTAATACCAAGAGCTCAGAATACTGTGATATTCTAGTCTCCCATGTCTCACATGATTATCTACTATTTTATTTCCACCTTGTTTTAACCACTCTCCACTCCCCATCCCCAAATCTATATTTACTTAAAACTTACCAGTGTGTTTACCAACGTATTTACTCACCACTGCTTTTTGTATACCACTCCTTTCTTCGGGGTTCCATTCCATTCTTACTAAAGAGCACCCTTTAGTAAGTATTTTGGCCCACCACAACTTAACAAAGAGAAATCTAGATCTCTGAATGTATCTTGCATGAAGGACAAGCTGAGCTGGTTTAAAACAGAACCATCCCACAGTTCATCACTACGATATTCTTTTACTTTGGGGAAAAAACAAAAAAACAAAAAAACAAAAAAACAGCCCCTGACCAGGTTATGACTTTTAGCATTTATTCAACTATTTTCCCTTTCTGGATAGAAATCAGCAATGGTCCCAAAATACATCTAGACAAATATGCTTCTATGAAGACTGTATTCTACAAAACTGTGACAAAGTGGGTAAGAATAGTCTCTCGACAATCAGATTTGGGCCTTACATTATGCCACCATAATGGTTCTCTTAGCCCCACCCCCTTCTTTAGGTTTTTAACCGAAGTAACACAATACCATGTATTGCAAATAGGAAATAAATTATTCTATGTAGATGTCATGCTTTCAGAAATTCATTACTTATGTTGCCAAAATGTTTTCAGTAGATGATAGTCTTTAACATTCAAATAGTTATATTAAAATAGCTCATTCAGTAATGTTCCCTAGAAAGTGCATTTTGCAGTGAAGACTTACTAGGCATGAGAAAGTCAGTGCTGTTCAAAATCAGCTATTACATAAAAGATATGATACAATTCTTTTAAGACCATGATGCAGTTCTTACGTGACCCAAATGGAAATAAACGTCATGTGGAATCCTGGGGTTTCAACTATGTGCTTGTAATTCCGAAGTTATATTATGGGGACCAAAAAAAAAACTCCCTGCTTGCTGCCTACCTGACTCCCATTCAAGAAAAGACATTTACAATAGAATGTCAGCCTTGCTGTCTATTCATTTGACACCAAACCAGTTGGCTTCTTTGGAGAGCACTGGAGTAAGAGCAGCTCTAGAATCTTGCCAGAAAATGTATCCAGCTGTTATCCAAGGACCGGGTGTGAAACACTATAGAACTTATTTCTTAGCCATTCCCCTGAAAGATCTTAAATACAAGTTGAGTATCCCTTATCTAAAATGCTTGGGACCAGAAGTGTTTCAGATTATGCATTTTGGAATATTTGCATCATACCCACCAGTTAAGCATCCCTCATCCAAAAAATCTGAAATCCAAAATGCCCTAGTAAGGGTTTGAGTGTCATGTCAGCACTCAAAAAGTTTCCAATATCAGAGCATTTCCGATTTCAGATTTTCAAATTAAGGATACACAACCTATTGTATATCTCTAATTTGAAACTAGGGATAATTAGAACCTATCTAACTTTCTATTACATTAGAACACGAAAAGTATTGTTGGTCTTTGTTTGCTTATAATTCCATAGAATTGTTTTGTTTTAGTCCCTTTCAATTTTGGACTCTCAGCTTTGATAGTTAAATGAAAGCCTTGCATTTGCTGTGACACTGACACTGATGAGCTCCAATGTGATTCTTAAAACCCATTAAGACCCAGAGAAAAAAACTCCTTCAGAATACTTTGGTATCCCGTTTTGAAAACCTGGCCATATATTTTATTAAAAGCTAAGGTCCCAATAATTCTAGTTCCGAGAATATAATCTAAGGAAGTAATCACATACATGGAAAAAACTATATGCACCATGATGCCTTCTAAATTATTTGTAATTGGAAAAAACTGGAAGTAACCTAAATGTCCAAGAGTAGAATGTCTGTGCAAAATGGCACATGATCCGGATGGATTGTTATACAATCATTAAATAGAATTGATAATGCACTGTGGAATCTATCTGTGACAAATTAAAGCACTGTGTGTGTGTGTGTGTGTGTGTGTATGGAGGTGATCCTGGATAGGTGATACGAAATTCTGACTTGTCCAGCTTCTCTTGATACTATTGGGAAGTTGGCAGACACACAGGCACTTACTAGCATGAGCTGACTTCCATAATTTTACTCTAATATTTTGTATTTTAGAACCAAAGGAGTCAGAAGATGCACACATCAGTTCCTGGGTGTCCATTCGTGCTGCCAGAAGAAAATACCACAGACTGGGTAATTTATAGACAATATAAATTTATTTCTCACAGGTATGGAGGCTGGGAAGTCCAAGATCAAGGCACTGGCAGATTCCAGATTCAGCGTCTGGTGAAGACTGCTCTCTACTTCCAAGATGGTGCGTTGTTGCTGAGTCCTCCAGAGGGAACGAAGACTGTGTCCTCATGTGGCAGAAGGGATGGAAGGAAACAAAACCACTCCCTCAACCCCTTTTAGAAGGACCTTGACCCCATCTATAAGGGCTCTGCCCTCACAACTTAATCACGTCCTGAAGTTCCTACCTCTTGTTAAGTTTCAACACATGAATTTTGGGGGAGACAAGGATAAGGAAAGAACATGGTGATTAACACTGTCCCCCTGGACTGATTTTCAAGCTTTCTATGGCAAGAGTTTATAGGCAAAAACAAAATCCCTCCACTGCATGTTTGATAGTGCCATGAACCTCTCTTTTGTTGCACTCATCACAGTTGTACATTAATCTATATAATTACTTAATGCTCATCTTCCCTTCTGGTCTACAAGCTCCATCAGGGCAGGACCTGTCTTTGTTTTGCATATTACTTGACATATAGTCCTAACAGTTGAAGGAAGGAAGGAGATGAAGAGAAGAAAGGAAAGAAAGGTAAGGGGAAAGAAGAAAAAAAAAGGGTGGGTGGAGAGAAAGAAGAAAGAGTGAAAGGGGAAGAGAGAAGAAGCAAATTTTTGCACAGGACGCTGTGGTCCGGGTGACAGTAAATACACTAGCAAACCGGGAAAGCACACTCCCATTTCCACTTGGAACACAGCAAGGCCAAGAGACTGAAATGGACAGGAAGGCAGGGCTGCCCTAGCACTTGGCAGGTTTGCATGTTGGGGCTGTATCGGGGATGGCGTCCTAGGCAAGGTAGGACTTTCCAGCAGGACCAGCCTCAGTGCACGTGACAGAGCAGTAGTGAGGAGGGCAGATGCTGGTAGAAGTCTGTCAGGGGAGCAGCAACATATGCAAGCATGGACTTGTGTCTGTAGTCTGAATATCTGAACCTGGGGATACCCAGAAATACACAGAAGGAATGGAGAAATGCCCCCTTTAAGGTCTCCGTGCATGTAGGGAGTATAAAGTCAGTATCATGGGTGTTAATATAAATACTTGTTTACAGCCTCAGATAGTTGTTCTTAAGGATGTCTAAAAAACAGACTAAAAACCAAAAAAAAAAAATTATTGAAATGGTAAAAGAAATGTAATGGTTGTGGTTTTCCCTCTTATGTTCATACTTTTATAATATGTACATAACAGATAGAAGCGTTTCTCATTTGAATCACTGCTACTTTCTTTTATCGGATGCGAAGAAGTTTGAAATTCACTGTTTGTTTTTTTTTCCCCAGTTCTAGCCTTCTCTATTTTGTCTATCCCTGTTGACATATCAGTCTTTACCATACGATTTTGTTTTTAAAGGCGAACCTCCCTATATTATATACATGGTCTTATGTATATGAATTCTTTCATTAGGTCAAAAAAAAGACGAGTGTAGAGGATGAAAGGATGGCCTGGCATACTAGGCCATCTAAAATGCATCCAGCAGCTCACCTGCACCCCCACAAACCATAAGCATCACTGCCATTCTGAGCTGACGTTGATGGGAGATGTTATAACTTTGAGGGGAGTGAGGAGGTAGAAAGAGTTAATAACCAGTGAATTACTGTTAAGTTTGGTGAGAACTGTATTTTCACAAAAGGTGAATTTTAGAACCAGAAGTTATCAGTTTCAATTCTGGATCTACCACTCACTCTTAGTTCCTTAATCTTTGTCAGATGGATATAAACATACATTTATTTCAATGTATGAATATTAAACATATGCTAAGTGCTAACAGATAGTGCTCAACAAAAGCTCTTTACACCTTATTTTTCAGGTAGACTTGGGAGTTCCTTTACATTACAGGTTTCTCAATCTTAGCACAACTGATATTTTAGACTGGATAATTCTTTACTGTGGAGTGTTTTGGGCTAAAGTGTGCCCCCCAACCCCTGCCACTAAATATGTTGGAAGTTTTAACTGTCAGTATCTCAGAATGTGATGGTATTGAGAGATAGGGTCCTCTATCTAAAAAAGAGGTAACTAAAGTAAAATGAGGCCATATGCATGGGCCCTGATCCAATGACTGCTGTCCCTACAAGAAATCAGGACACCAGTCCTGCACAGTCATGTGCACATAGAGAAAAGACCATGCAAGGACATCGGGAGAAGGCCACTGTCTGGAAGCCAAGGAGAGAGGCCGAAGAAGAAACCCTACTGATCTTGGACTTCCAGCCTCCAGAATTGTTGTTTAAGCTTCCCAGTCTGTAGTATTTTGTGATGGCAGCCCTGGCAAACTAACATGTGAGGGTTGGATGTTTAGCACCATCCCTGGCCTCCACCCATTGATACTGGTAGTACCCTTCACCACCCTCCACCTCCAAAAGTGTCTCCACACATTGCCAGCTGTCTCCGGGGGGGCAAAATCTTTCTGCCCACCCCACTGGGAACCACTGTTCTAGCTGATCTTTGGCCACCTTTGTATTCCCAGTGTCAGTACAGTGAGAGCTATATAACTAAGTAGATAACTAAATATTTGCTGAATGAACTCATGTGCCTGCTTTCCCAGTCCTGGGTCTCACCACTCCCTCACAAACTCCTTTTGCTGCAATTAAAGTAGTAATTACTTCCAGTTTAATTTACAGACTGTGTAATTTGTCATGAAACAAGCAGTTTTCATTTTGACATAATTTCTGACAACTCAGTGACATAAATATATTCATGTGAGCCCCTATTTTGTTTGACATGCTCACTTACCTCACATCAGTTCTGCTGATAGATTTGGTAAGTGGTGCTTTTAGTTTCCTTAATGCACCATTAAGGATTTCAAGCAAATGAAATTATTATGACAAATTTTTCTATAGTCATTTCTAACACAAAGAACTCATAAAGAAATCAAATGTCTGGACTTCACTGTGAAAACACTAAACTCTCAGCCATAATGAGACTCTGCACATTATCAGAAACCCCAAAGCACATCAAAAAGCCAAGGTCAACGGAGACAGTCTTTGGAATGGGGAGGTCATAAATGTTGAACCTGGCAAATCACAAATTTCTTGTCTTAACATTGCCGCATTTGCTGTCATCTCATTTGAAAGATGATGTGTTTGGGTTGGGTGGTGGCAGAGGGGTGGGAGTTGGGGAATGCTGGCTCTGAAATGCCAGAGAGGCATTATGAACTCCGGAAGCATCTGGCTACTGGTAGACATTTTACACACAGATAGCAATTTCTGACCAATCCATTTCAATGATTTCTAACCCATACTCAGCTATCCAGAGGATCCTATTTTAAGAACATTATTGCAAACTGACACACTCTATTCATTTACAAAATTCATTCATTGCATATTTTTTTGGTTTAATAGCTTGGATTCAGTGTTACAGATTTGACTGACCCAAGTGAAAAAATACACTAATCATTTTTAAGTGCTATTTCAGAAGAATATGTGCAATGTTTCTAAGTTATTGTGACTTTCTGACTGTTGTGGCTTTAAATTATAATACTAATATCTTACTCTGAGAAATGTGCAAGACACAGGTCTAACAAACAACTACATTAACCTCGGGCAACAACCATCATGGAGCTGCTGTACCACAGGCATGGTGGTGGCCTGCATCGGTACTTACACACACCAAGGATGTGAACTCACATCCTGCCTTTCCAAAAACATAAACATTTAACTCAACTGTTTCTTGTAATAAAGAGGTTGAAAGAATCCTTTTGTGAGGTTGGATTCTCCAGGGAAGAGAAGGAGAATGGCCTAAGGACATTCTGAAATTTAGATATCAAACCAAACCATACCAAACCAAACCAAATCCCTCTGCCAAAGTGCCAAAGAGCCTGCCTACTCTGCAAAGCTGGTGCTTGTGTAAAATGTCAGTACTTTTAGATAGAGATGTTTTAGAGGAAGGAGGCAACTGACCAAGTACGATACTTTGTAATATTTTTCCCCTCTGGAAAAGCAGAAAAGAATGAACATCAGCTAACCATAATATTTAGAATTTAGCATCTTTCCTTGGGCATTTATAAACAGGAAATCTGTCTGTGGCAACCAAAAGTACCTTATTCTAATCACTGCATTTGAAAAGTCAGCAAAAGCCCACACTAATTCCTATTACGCTTGTTTCTTGGTTCAATCTCAGCACTTTCAGCAGCTCTTGTGCGGCGATTCTGTCTTGGACTTATTTCTGTGTCTTGAAGATCGTCTCTGAAGACAGAAAAAAGAAATGGCATCTTAGAAAGTAATGATTATTATTCTACAGCAGTTTCTAGTTTACAAGTGTTTCCACAGGTATTATTTCATTAAAACCTCGAAATAACCCTCTATTCTGTGGATGAATTCATAATTGTTATTATTAGTATTTCCACTTTACGAATTAGTGAATTAGCAAGGATTACAGATAGTCCCTTTTGCTGAATTAAAATTTAGGAGTTTTATGCTTCTGTTTAGCATGTAGAGGACTGGAAAAGAAAATGCAAACAAAAAGCTGCTGGAAAAGAAAAGGCAAACAAAAAGCTGCTCCCATCCTAACAAGAAAAAGCCAGGCAGTCTAACAAAATCTTAATTCTTCTTGATCCTTCAGAGACCTGAGGTTGTAAAGGAACTAAGAAAGCAAAATTCCAAAGAAAAATATGCCCCTCCAAAGATGGGCCACACGTCTCTCACTTTTGGCAGAGTGTTGGAGAACGAGGTGGCTACCATACAAACAGGGAAGAAGAATCAGCTAAGATTTTCCTAATTTCTTAAGTACAGGATAGTACTGCGGGCCACTGACACAAGGAGAGTCTGCACACACTTGCCAGCTCTTTTCCACGAGCCTCCGTCAGGTGCTCACAAGAAGACTGGGAGCAGGGCAGGAGAATGGAGAGGGGCCACTTCAGTGGCTACTGGGGACAAGAAGAAGTCCTGCCTGCTTTCTTGAATGCTTCTCTCCCATGTAGCATAAGTTTTTCAATTGCTGAGGGAAACATAGGAAACTCACCCTGGGGCTCTGGCAAAGACCCATGGCCTCTGGAGAAGGAACAGAGGTGAAATCAGTCTGCCTCAAGGGGAGGCATATGACCTCATTTGCAGGGACGCAGGCAAAGATTCACTGCGGCAGGGGAAATGTAGAAACTAAAACCTCTACCTTACAGGAGGGGCAGAAAATCATCTCCAGCTGATGACCTTACACTGACACCAAGCAGAGGTTCGGTCAAGGTAGCCTGATACCATGGGAGGAGGCAGAAGTGCTGAGAAAGGCCCATCCCTAAGCACACAGGGCCTACCTAAGACTCAGGCTGGACTGAGATAACAGTGAACCCTGGCTGTTTCCCACCATGAGCCTAGCACCAAGCAATAAGCAGGAGCAGGAAATGGCTGAGGGAGAGATACGAACATGGTGAAGATATGCCCCTATGGGGTGCAGCCAAGTAAGCATGACGGAAAGGAAAATGGGAGTAAAATCAGTGAGACAAACCCTCTGGCAATCCAGCCCCACACTAAGCAGAAGTCAAAGCAGACATCTGCTAGAGTAACTTGAAGTGGATGCACTGAAGGTCACATTAGTCACTAGGAAACTCCAACCCAGGTCAACTCTGAATTACCTGGCTCAACTCCCAACACTAATGACCCAATAGAAGGATGCCCATTTCTAGGCACAAACACTATTGACCTCAGTCCCTATGGTCCTTCACTGTATGGCCAGCATTCAAAAAGTATGATACACAATAATGCAAGGAAAAAAACCCATTTTGAGATGGAAATTCCTTCAATAGGCTTTAAGTGTAATACATAAAGTTGATAAAAAGACTTAGTGAACTTGAAGATATGTCAATAAAAACCATCCAGATTAAGATACAAAGAGAAAAAGGAGTGTGTGAGGGTGTGCACATAGAATAGAGCAGCCAGAGCTGTGAGACAATAAAAATGGCATAATATGTGTATAACTGGAATGCCTGGAAGAAAGGAGAGAAAGAACTGTGGAAAATAAGTATGTAAATACATATGGCTGTGGATTTTCTAAAAATTTGAAACACATCAAATCAAGATCAAAGTTGGTCAAAGAACCCCAATCATGATAAACACCAAAAATAAACAACCAACAAATAAGATCTCTCCAAGATTTGTTGTTGTTGCTGTTTGCTATTATTGTTTAGTGACTTTTCTAAACCAATCCTATAAATACATATTCTTCATTGTGTATGGCAACAAAAAGTGTCTGCTTGATTAGCTTTGTAGTCCACTAATGATTGAACAGTTCCTTAGACCTCTGGAACCAGTATTGTACAGAAACTCTTAGCAAAACCAGTCTTTGCTGAGGGGCTCTGTGTGCGTGCTGGGGCATGCAATCAACATTCACTCAACACTCAGTGGACAACTCTGCCTTAGCCTCTACTTCCTGCTTGCACACAGCCTCATGGTTAACCAGGGGTGAAAGCTTAGTGCTTCCTTAGGTCTATCCTAAGCATGCACAGAAGCTCTATGAATGAGAGTGACCCTCTAGATTCCCAGTAATATTTTACAGCTGTTCAAAACCCCCATGGAAATCTTACTTTTCAGCTTTTACTATTAGGCTTTTTGGTTAGCATATCGTTTGCCCCGATTGTTATGTACCACCTCAGACAACTACAAAGCTAGTCAAACGTCTCTAACTGCATTCAACAAACACCCTTAGAGAAAAGGCTTTTTGAAGTGAGCAAGCTCCAAGTCAGGTAAAGTAAAGATAGTCTTGGCAAGTAGAGTCTTCCAGGGAACCATTAGATAGGCTAAGTAAAAATTCTCCAGGAATGTGGCTTTAAAGGGGCTCCAACCCCACTCTGCCTTCTCTGCAGGCTGTCAGCCTGCTGGTCCTCACCATGATTGCAGACTGTTGGCTCCCAAGGCCACAGAGGAACTAGAGAGAGAAGGATGAGAACAAAACCAGATGAATCACCACAAAACTCACTGTTCTCACTGACATTCAGATATTTTCTTGAATAAATAACCCCTAAAGTGCTGCTGCCTTTGGTTAATGTTCAGAGTTTTCCGAAAAGTTGAATCCCACAATTTTTGCAGTTTTATTATTGCATTTATGGAGCAGAGAATTTCCACCATTTTTGCTATCACTCTTATCATTTTTACTTTTTTTCATGTTTTAGTTTATGTTCTTAAAAATCTCTCAACTTTCACCATGTCAAATTTTTTATCTTAATGTTTTATTATCATTTACTTATTTGACTTCTGATAATTTTTGAGGCTTAAATTTTAGTGGGATGTTCCTCCTTACTTTTAACTTCTATTTTATTGCTCTTTATTCTCATACCTTGTTTTTAATAATCCTTTAACATTTTTCAGTAATATTTTCTTTCCATGTTTCCCCTCTTTGATTTGCCTTTATGATAGCTGGCAACAGACACAGCTATTGAGGTAGCGGAAGAAGTCATCTATACTTCTTCCACTTCCTTAGGAGGGGAGTTCCTGGCAAGGAGTATTTCAGTGGTACTCCCAGAACAATTCTCTAAAACACCTCATCCCCTAAGATGCAAGAATCCTAATAGAATAACCCAACCCATATTTTTTTCCATGCATGTAACGCATTGACTTACTGGAATAACACTTAGTAAGATCTCACAGGTGCAGCAGGTTTTAAAATTCTTGGTCTCCAGCAGGTATTACTAATGAATTTCTTTTAGTAAAATGTGACAATAGCATGTTAGCCAGATGAGAGGATATTCCTGGGGAGGGCCACAATGAGGCATCTACCGTTAAAGTACTGAATCTACCTACTGTTAAAGTACTGAATCTACTGAATGCAAAAACATGCCTTAGGAGAGCCAGCCATTCATTATTAACCTGCTTCCAATACACATTATTTCCAAGATGACCTACTTTCCTTCTTGGTAGGTCCATAGAAAGAATCTCCTGGTGTGTGGCTCTCCTTGCCTCATGTTGATCATAGAGAGAGTGGTCAGATCAAGGACCACTGTAAACAGGCCTGAGTTTCCTTTTATTCATTTTTTCAAACATGAGATTCACTGTTTTCCTGCTGCAAGTACTTTCAATTACAGTAATTGTATCATTTAACAAACATGACAGGCTCATAAGTGCATGCAAACAACTTCTCATGGGTTTAAGATGAAATGTAGACTATTAATAGAGAAAATAATTCTTCCTTTTCCGATTTTATAAGATTAGAGAAAGTTATTTTCTAAAATTTTATTTTAAAGGCACTATGAGATAGACACAAAGAGTTAGCAAGGTTTTTAAGTGGTGTTAGCTTAAAAATCAAATTTACAAATTTGGAAAGGAGCCTTTATTTCTTATAAACAATTACAGCCTGTAAGGTGACCACTCCAACAAGGCTGAGAAGTGTTAACTCCGGCAGAGCCCAAAAGACAGGTACTGTAAGGGAGAGGAAGAGGGAAAAGGGATTTATGGTGAATGTGTGGACCAAACATACATATTCAACAGGTTACAGGAGGAGCTATGATTATTCATAAAGGGGGGTTCTAATGCATGTCCTAATGCATGCATGCATGTTACACACAACCCATGTTCATTCTGGGGTGGAGACTTAATATTTAAATACATTACAATCAGGCCGTACATGTCAAAAGGTCTTTTTAGGACACAAAGGCACCCAACTGCTCAGCCACTATAAAACTGGCCAGAACCAGTCCATGATCAGTGGTCTCTTATCAGAAGAAAGTTACTGAAATCAGTCTCTTGTCAAACCAATGCTATATAGTTATAGCTTGTGGAACAGAGGGTCAGTTAGTCAGCTTTCAGCAGTAGATGTGCTACAATTGTTTTAACATTGTTTATCTCAAGGCCAGTGCTTGTTTAGCTGCTAGAAAAAAAGAAAAGCCTTGTAGCAATTAGAACATAATTACTCTTTAAGTGTAGGGTGATTTACTTAACCCTTGCTTTGCATGGCCTTAGGTCTTGTCTATAATTTGGTATTTTATTGCCACAAAAAAATATGTTCTGTCAGTCCTACGATCTCTATTCTAACATTAACGTTGGCCAGTTGTTATGTCTACACTGCAAAAGGGAGCAGGTATAATAGCCTTAGCTCCTGTCTATAATTTGGTATTTTATTGCCACAAAAAAATACGTTCTGTCAGTCCTATGATCTCTATTCTAACATTAATGTTGGCCAGTTGTTATGTCTACGCTGTAAAAGGGAGGAGGTATGATGAGGCATGTCTGATCTCCTGTGCTGTCATGGCCAGGGACTGTTTTTAAGGTTTCTATGGGTCCCCTTGGCCAACAGGGGAGTCTGTTCAGTCAGCTGATGGCTTAAAATTTTACTTTTAGTTTACAGTGGCGATCCTTATTCATTCACAGGTTCTTGAAGCCAAGTAAGAACATAGAATCTACTAGTGAATACATTCAGATCCCATAAACACTGACTGACTGACTGACTGCCAGACACATTCATTCATTCACATATTTATTGAGTGCCTATGCTGGGCTGCCCAGGCATGGTGCTAGGTGCTAGGGATTTAAAATCCAGTGTACTTACTCACTAGAAAGGGTGAGAGTGCTGCTGGAGCAAAATCAGGGGCTTCTGAGCAGAGTATGAAGAAAGGAATGTCAATTGCTATCTAGATGAAGAAAGGGGAAAGGGCAATTTGGACAGAAGCAGCAGCGTGTGCAAAGGCCAGGGGCAGGGCGGCATAACTCATGAGGCAACTGCGAGTGGTTCAGCTTGGCAGCTTGGCTGAAGCCACAGTCGTGGGGTGGGGAAGTGAGGGAATAAAATTCCATGAGCCAGCCAGGTAGGCTGGGGCCAGAACATGAAAAGCCTTGGATGGTGGAGAGCTACTTTAAAGTCTAAGGGGGAAAACACCTGTATGTTACATTTCACTGGCAAAATGAACTAGTAATAGACCGAGGCAGAGAGACAGCTGGACAGTGGTTGCTGCAAGCTGGAAAGTAAAGGACCTGCAGGAGTAAGCAGTGGCACAAAGAGACTGAGACAGTACAGAGGCAGCCCCAGCTATACCTAGGAGCTTGTTAAAATGCCAGTCATTAAGCCCCTTCCTAAAGCTACTGAATCAGAATATCTAAGGGTGGAGTTCACTAATCTGTAGTCTAACAAGTCCTCCAGGTGATTTTAAGTCTGAGAACCACTTATCTATAGGACTTTGCAAGTGACTGTAGGTGAGTGGTAAGGGAGAGTGAGAAGTTTAAAATAATTGCTAGGTTCTGCCTTGAACAGTGGGGAAGACTATGATCCTACCATTCACTGAGAAGAGGGGACACCGGAGGCGGAGAAGATCTGGAGCAAAGGGCTTAGACTCACTGAAGCATATATATTTTACCCACATTTGTGTGTAAAGAAACTGAGACCCCAAAATGTGAAGTAACACCAGGACCATTTTCTTCCTACTTTCATTCTGCTCAATGTAAATATATCTTGTAGCTTGTTGTTGTTGCTTTTTGGTTAGCACATCATTTGCCCCAACTGTTATCTACCACCTCAGACAGCTGCAAAGCTAGTCAAATGCCTCTAATTGCTTTCAACAAACATCTTTAGAAAAAAGGCTTTTCGAAGCCTTTTTTGAGCAAGCTCCAAGTCAGGTAAAGTAAAGATAGTCTTGCAAGTAGAGTCTTCCAGGGAACTATCAGACAGGCTAAGTAAAAATTCTGTGTGTGTGTTTCCTATATATTATGATGTTTTGACATCATAATACAGCCTTTCTAGCTGGGGAGAGACTGCCTCTGCTGGCATCAGGAGAGGCTGGTCAATTCTCAGAGAAAGCAACGGGCCCAGCCAGGAGTATGGCTGTGACATGCAAACTAACCAATCCAGAGTCACACCTCCTCTATCTGGCCCCAACACCCTAAGAGGCAATAGTCCTCTGACTTAATCACGCCAGGGCCAGGTTCTAGGTAACTAGGGACCACTCCTATAGCTTGGAGCCACTGAAATTATTCGAACTAGCCAGGCCTGCACTGTTCACCCCACCCTGCCTTGCCTTTCCTGAGAAAACCCCAATCAGGGATCTAGCCTAAAGCGCTACCCTTGTTCCTGTCTTCTGCCTCCTGACCACGCTAGTGTCTTTCCCTTGTGGACCTGCATGGTATGCCATGTCCTGTCTCTAGGACCTGTGAGTATAATGAAACTTGTTTTCCTGAGCCTCTCCTGTGTCTCTTCTTGTGGCCACACCTGACTGATCATCTCATAAAAGAATACAAAATGTAGATATAAGACTCCAAGACCAGTTTGTAGAAAATAAGTTTCCTGCTGCTTATGAAAACACTGCTTTATATGGAGCCATGTGTTGCTAACGAAACCTCTAAATCATTTGTGGAATTAAGAGAATGTGTTGGAACTGATATGGTATGTTCCAGGACTAATATCTCAAATATGCCACTTGTGGTACTACAAAAAAAATGCCTATAAGCTTAAGATGGGCATTTGTAGAACTGCAACATTTTGTTGAAAAGTAAAGCTCTGGAGGCTTTTCCTGATTCTGCTTTTAAAACTATATCACAGCATAAGTTCTTCCTTAGAAGGAACTGAGGCTGTTTATTCTATATTCTGCTGAAATCAGGAGGCCTGGATTCTGATCCTGGTGGTATCACTAACTAGTCCTCGGACCTTGACCAAGAGTCCGTTTACCTCTCTGGAGCCCAGCTTCCTTCTCTATAAAACAAATGGGTGGGGCTAGACAAGCTCTTGTATCTTTCTCGCTTTAAAAAGTGAAATGATGGAATTTGTTTTCTAAGTGCTTTCTGGTAGTAATGACTTTAAGAAATCATCATTATCAAGAACAGGCTTGGGCTCAGGAACTCTGGGCTCATCATAGTCACTAGTGTCAGGGTTAGTTCAGCATGAAGAGGTACAAAAGGAAAGTAGTTAGCTAAGGGGTTGCCTCCTCTTCCAGAACTCAAAGTTAAATAATGCTTACGTGAGAGACAGTAATGCAGCCAAAATCTCAAATTTACATAAAATGCTACTACTTGAACCACCAAATATTTCATAATAAACCCATGTATCCCCTGGATACACCATACTTTTCCACACTCCCAGTGATTCAGCTATGAAACGACAAAATGTCAACTGCACAGCAAACCTCTCCTCCTCTGAAAAGATAGTAGAGTTTAATGGTTGAGGATGCTGACTTTTGACAATTAGGTTAGAATCTCATCTCCATCACTTATTACTTATTGCTATATGACCTTGGGCTGGAGACTTACCCCTTTTAGCCTCAGTTTCCTCACTGTAAAACCGGGATAACAGTATATAATAGTGCTATATTTAAATGAGATCACACATGTATTTACTATGAGTTAGGCTCATGCTGACAGTGGGGTTAAAATGCCTAACTTATAGACCAGTAGGAGTGATGGGCAAACAAACAATCATACAAATGTGCTGGAAAGAGATGGACACAGTGCCGTAAGCGCCTACAGTAGGAGGACTGGATCCAGGAAGAACCTGAGCTGGTGAGTAGGAGTGTAAACTAGATGAAAAAATAAAGAACACTCTGGGTAGAGGGACAAGTTCAAAGACTCTGTGGTGGGAGAGAGCTTTTCATGCAGGAGGACCTAAGACGTCTATATGATGAAGCAGAGAGAATATGATTATGAAGTAAATAATAAGAGATGAGTCTGGAGAAAGAGATACAATCATTTAGCACCTTTTAGGCATATTAAAGAGTCCCTTCTTGAACCTAAAACGAACAAGAGGCCATTCAAGACTTTTAAAGCAGAGGGATGAGTAACAGTGATCAGATTTGCATTTTGAAAAGATGGCTCTAGCTGCATTGTGGAAATTACATAAGATTATAATACCATGTTTTTACTGCACCTTTTCTAGGTTTAGATACACTAACAGGTACCGTTGTGTTACAAATGCCTAACTGCAACACGCTGTACAGGTTTGCAGCCTAGGAGCAATATGCTATATACCCTAGAGCCCAGCTGTATGGTGGGCTATACCATCTAGGTAAGTATACTCTGATGTTCCCACAATAATGAAGTCACATTTCTCAGGATGTATCCCCATTGTTAAGTGATACATGAGTGTATTAATTGCCCATAGGAACAATTTATCCATACAGAAATAACATCTGATACATAACTACAGTTATATAGGATTCCATTTCTTAGCAGAAATATATAGAAACAAGTAGTAAACCGAAAATCTTTACCTTGCACGTGGATTACTACTCCTTTAAACCAGAAAGCACAAATATCATTTTGTTTGAAAATCAGCTGCATAGAAGTATAATTTCTCAGGTCAAAGTACATGTTTATTTCATGATTATGAGAACTCACTTATGTGATGCTTCCCAGGCTTCCTCTTCTTCTAAAAGATCTCTTATGATGTCTGAACTGGAACTAAAAGGATATGTGCATCAGTATTGACAGACAATAAGAAGACTGTATTGTCCCATTTATATAAAATTCTAGAAAAAACAAATGAATCTATAGTGAAAGAAAGCAAACAAATGGTTACCAGTGAGAGAAAGGAGGGAGAGTGGGGGTGGGCAAGGAAAGAGAGAGCCAAATGTAGTTTCCATTAGGAGATGGGTAGCAAAGGCCAAAAGCACTGAAGAACACTGAGGCAGATTTTACCAACTTTAGTATTTTCCACTAGCCAGGGAAGCTGAGATTCCCTGCCACCCCTACTTCAACAGAAGTTGTTCTAAACCCTTCTATTCACAAGACCCCAGCTCCTGCTACTCCTTACCTCAGAGAGAACTACTCCAATTTTAAATAAAGCTGAAGCTGTTTTAAACCTTTTTTAAACCTTTTAAACCTGTTTTAAACCAACCTTTTCTTACCTTTCTCTCTACTTCAGTGTCATCCATTCTTCTTTACCTGATGTGCTTAAGGTACTGTTTCTCAAGCTTTTAAAACTATCATCTTCCTAAGGAGCCTTTTTACACATTTCCCCCTAACCCCATGACATTTTAATACCACAAATATGATGTCTATTTGTTCATGTGTTCTGTGTGTATGTGTATATATGTATGTATAAAGCACAGATATGTGTGTATGTATATATATATGTGAGTGTGTGTGTATATATATATATCTGTGTTTTATGCATATACAGAGTAACCTTTTTACCCACTCCCCACCCCCATGAAAAACAAAATTCCACCCTTTGGGGGTGATACTGCTCCTACTGAAAACCCATGAGTTAGGGAAATGGGAGCAGAGGAGGATCATGTAGTTCTGGGGCCTGGCAGGGGTCACAGAGTTGGAGAAAGAGTAAAGTCAGCTTCTTGCCAACACCGCCCCCGCCCCCCACCCCATGCTCCACAACACACACAATTGTTTTTAAACAGGAAGGTTATGAAGCATCTCTACTAGTCCAGCTAAGAAACGAGGATGGCCAAGTCTGTCAACTAACGTAGTAGAGTCTGTGATCAATTTACCTAGGGGTTTTCAAATCATCAGCACAAATCACTGATTTGTTAAAGTAAAATATTTGCAGTACACTAATGACATAAACCTAAGAGGTTTTTGTTATGCTACCTCAGTGAAAACAGATGGTAGAGGTGGTTTACAAAAAACACATCTCAGAAGTTGCCCGCTATCTCCTCTTCCTCTGCGACTTCAATGTCACTGCCCAGCCAGGCTGCACAGCTCCCTGGTGTCTTCACTTCCCATTACCTTTCCTTCTACCCCACCTCAGACACTCACCTGAATGATAACCAGATCACTAAATGGACTGATACAAAATTTGGGAGATTCAGAATTTTATCTAAAATGAAGTTTCAGGATCATCTGCTATATCTACTGTTCCAATTCTAGTCACCACTAAAAAATAGAGTTGATGCTAATACAATTAAAATACCAGACAGAACTGCTCATTCTTTTTAAAAGTAATGTACTTATTACTATATCTGCTCAAAAACCACGTTCCTAAAATTAAACATAGTTTCACAAATAGGATTTTACAAAAAGACACTTAGGTATAACAGTCAGTGTTACTAAAATTATCACTCTCAGATCGCTTCCCTGTGGATAAAAGCAATTAACATTTTTGAAGTCTTAGTCATTTTAATATGCCTTGAAGATCAAAAATTCCTTTAATATTCTTTCAAGACATCTAAAAAATCCTCCAAAGGAGAAAATTAATTACTCATTCTGATATTTCTGGGGTCAGAGCATATACAAGCCTACACAACTACACCTTTGAAGTCTAGAACAAGGAACTTTTTCAGAGTAGGCTTCAGCTTGTCTACTATTTGGTCTTGAAACATTCTGGAAGGCCGTGCTTCCAGAAGCTGGATGAACATAAGATTTGGTACATGAACATTACAGCTGCCCTGTGGAAGGGCATTCAAACGGCACTCTCTGATGTCCCCACTGGTCCAGGCTATTAATATATTAATATATAGATTACATATGAGAAAGACTCACTGGCAAAGATTCAAAATTGAATCTTGAATTCGATGGAATTCCAAACCTTGGTCCAGGAAGATGTTAATAGTTTTATTTAGAACACCTGCAATTAATTTTTCACACCTTTTAGTCAGCTTTTAGCCTTATTTTCAGGTCAAAGTTGCAGAAATGTAAGCTAATTCTGTGTGTGTGCATGCACACACACATGCACACCTTGGCCAAGTGGGTTTTCCTGTAATATCTCACTCTTGTCATTCTCTGACTGAAAGTAGCAAAGCTTCTTCAGCAAAGGAAAACACTATCTTCACACATTCCTTTTGTAGCATCTTATTTCATTCTACTAGTAAAGAATTTACTTCTGAAGCTGAAAAGTAAGATGTCAAGTACCTCTGGCAAATGTATGACTGATGTTAGAGAAAAAACCCACAGATTTCGGTGTCAGACAAAGTTAAGTTGAGGTCCCATTTCTGTTACTTACCGTGTAATTTTGGGCAAGTTACTTAACTTTCCTCTGTGTCAGTATCCTCAAGTATAAAATCAGGATAATGATATAGGTATTCCTTAGGGTTTTTTTAAAAGCTTATTCAATATAACACACTAAATGTTTAGCATAGAGCTTGGTACATAGTAAATGTTCAACAAATGTCAGTTCCATTTTCATGAAACAGATTTGGGTCTGAATTATCTGAATAACTGCCTCAGCACCATGCTCCAATTTGCCAGAGAAAACCTGATGATTATGTGCTCTATTTTAATCTTTTATTTCCACTGTTTCTATGACACCAGGGTGCAAATTCATCAGAACCAGCATGGCAGGTACACAGGGTACTGTGGGGTAGGAAAAAACGCAAACATCTGCTATAAAAATCCTGAGGATTAAGGATTACTTACAAGTGGAATTTTTCTATTATCTGGTAGTTACCCCCAACCCCGCCATTTCTTCCCTTAATTGTGGCATTAACATGAATGCAGTTGAGTATATCCAGTTTAAAACAATAACTCTTTAAGGATAGATCACTGGAGGATCAATGCAGGATGACATGGCGACCAGACAATGGTACTTAAATAAATTCTATCAGCTACCATGAATCTTTCCTTGAACCCCTATTTTTAGTAATCTGTTCTGTAAGATGAACAATAGTTTATAAGCCAAATATTTTAGCAGTTGGCTGACAACATATTAGAATAGTAAAGTTCCAGTTTCCAAAAAAACTCATTCAATTATGACAATGACAAAAATTATCATGTTCTGAGCAACTACCTCTACAAGCCACAGTGATAATTACTTTGTACACATTAGTCTTTTTTTTTTTTTTTTTTTTTTTGAGACAGGGTGTTGCTCTGTCACTCAGGCTGGAGTGTAGTGGTACAATCACAGCTCACTGTAGCCTCAACCTCCTGGGCTCAAGGAATCCTCCCACCACAGTCTCCTGAGTAGTTACAGGTACATACCACCATGTCTGGCTAATTTTTAAATATTTTGTAGAGATGGCATCTCCCTGTATTGCCCAGGCTGGTTTCAAACTCCTAGGCTCAAGTGATCCTCCCACCTTGCTTGGCCTCTCAAAGTGCTGGGATTACAGGTGTTGAGCCACCACGTCCAGCCTTCACATTAGCTTTAATTCACAGAAGCACCCTAAGTTTTCTCCCCATTTGACAAAGGCTGAGAGAAATTAAAGTAGAAAAACAGGAATGGGAATGCAAAACTCATCTTCTTTTGCCACACTGTGCTGCCTCAACAGTGGTAGCAGAAAAATCAAATGCTATTGATTTTACCAGAGTTAAGAATACCCTCTCCTGCCTATTTATCAATAAGGTGTTTGTCACACGACCATCAACAAAGTTCTAGAAAAAACAAGGCTAAGAGTTTCACTGCTCTCCACTAGAACTAAAAAAAGATAAAATGAAGAGAGCTCCAGATAAAATAATAAAAATAACTTAATACATGCAAAATCCTTAATAAGAGATGAAACCAAGCAACAGTAAGTTTATGTTCTATTTACAAAGCATTCACAATATATGATCATCTAAATTGCTTTGTAGACTCATCCAGGGAAGTTAGAGGGACAAACAAACAATAAAAGCTATTCCATTTTATCAATGAGGAAAGTTAAACTCTGGGAGATTAATTTAAAAGCCCATGTGCCAAGCACCTTTCCAGAGTCATAAAGCCAATGGCTGAGCTATCCTCCCACAATGAAACAAAGAAGACAGACTGCTAGGTACATGGATCTCAAGGAGTCATACACATTTCAAGGACTTGATGTTACAGTATCTTGAACTAAGATACATTCCCCTAAAACAAATGTTTCATTCATCCAAAAGATGGTCTGTCTCATGCACCACACCCAGTTTAAGCTCTTTCTCTTTTTTTTTTTTTTGAGATGGAGTCTCACTCTGTCGCCCAGGCTGGAGTACAGTGGCGCAGTATTGGCTCACAGCAACCTCCGCCTCCCACGTTCAAGCAATTCTGCTGCCTCAGCCTCCTGAGTAGCTGGGATTACAGGCACATGCCACCGCGCCTGGCTAATTTTTGAATTTTTAGTAAAGGCCGGGTTTCACCATGTTGGCCAGGCTGGTCTTCCTGACTTCAGGTGATCCACCTGCCTCGGCCTCCCAAAGTGCTAGGACTACAGGTGTGAGCCACTGTGTCCGGCCTAAGCTCTTTGAAAAATGCAAAAGATACTGAAGAACGATTTCATGTTCCCACATTTTCTCTAAAACTTCCAACAAAAAACAACTCACCACCTGAAACAGAATGAACCATTTAGCTTTCAGGGTATTCTAAAGTTCATAAATATTCCCACAAAAAAGATACACACAGTAATGTGTATAATAAAATACACACAGTAATGAGTTTTAGTAGAAAAAGATTTTGTGGCAACATTAAATTCATTGAATGTCACATTTAACAGTTATAAAATGAAATATAATGTCAACCTTCCAATAGCAATTATGAAGATTTTAAAAAATACAAAGCC